ATTATTACTGTTTCTGCATACAGCTATGTATAGACTTTATCTGTTGAAGCTAGAATTTGCCAGTAGCAAATACTTTGTGCTTGTTGACTGACTTATCTGAAGACTGAAACAGAGATTAGCTACCTGTCTGTGAGGGCCTGGGAAGTACCATGGTGTGGGTGGGGCTGGTGATTCGCACCTGTAACCCCAGCATTCTGGGAGACTGAGGCAACCCTGTGACTTAGTGAGACCCTGTCTCAAAACTTAAAAAATGTAAAAAGGGCTGGGGATGTAGCTCAGTGCAAAGGCTCTGGGTTCAATTCCCAGTACCACAAAAATAAACACAAAACAGAACTGTCCTGTGGAATGCAAGATGCCTTTAAATAAGACAGTTTTACACGGGCTGCCTTTGTAAGTCATTAGCCCAACTACAAATCGCTGTTAATTATTAAGCCTTTATGCACTATCTGGGTACCTGACACTGCAGGTTGGGAACGGACTGTGCGCGTTCCTCAGGTGAAGCCTACAAACTGCTAGAGAAATGTAGTTATCAGGGATTAAAATCTCCAAACCATTTTCTCTTGGATTTAGTCAAGGAAGTAGAACGTCTGCTGCTCGGCTGCTGCGTCTTCCATCTGAACAGCTGATTTAGCTCTCGGGATTTCTCGCTGCTTGTTCAGCATGGCGGAGATTTGGGTTCACAGACTCCTTCTTCTGTTTATTTCTCTGACGAAGTATCTGGAGGGCACAAAACTGCTGGCAGACCTTAAAAAATGCGGTGATCTGGAATGTGAAAGTAAGTTTGCTTTTCTTCTGCTTTTTCTCCTCAAAATAGAGGCTCTGAAATGTCATAAAATGTTATTATGGACATGCGTGATAAAGTGAAGATTCATATTATTGAGAAATACTTGAATTGTGAAGTATACTCTGTATAAGAAAGAAATTTTGGGGGCTGGGGTTTAGCTCAGCGGTACAGTGCCTGCCTGGCAAGTGCAAGGTCGTGGGTTTGATTCCCGGTACTGGAAAAATAAACCAAAAAACAAAACAAAAAAAAAAAAAAAAGAAATTTTGGAAGCAAAGCTGCTTGTGATGGTATTTAATGTAAATATACAATGGGTAAAGATCGGGTTGATATAGAAATGTACTAGAAGTTCTA